AACAGCGGATGTGTTCTCCAGCAACAAAAGCTGCCAATGCCAATGTTAAAATTTAGTTCACAGCGGAAGTTGGCTGCGTGATGTTCATAAAGCGCAATAAAATTTTATTCTTTTAGTTTTAATGTAACATAACTTACGTAAATTTGTCAAACAATGTTAATAATTAAATTTAATAAAATAGAAATAAATTATAAATGGGACAGTGCAACATTGTGTTATAGAAATACTTAAAAAATTAATTTAAATTTTAATTAAAACATGAAATTAGATTTTCCATCAATGTTTAATATGCGAGAGATTCTTTAATAAAAAATGTACTCACAATCTTTATGCATTCATTGGCAGCCATAAATAAATAACAATGCACATGGCTCTGCACGTTGGGGTCTGTAAGTATGCAGTTGTCGCTTGTTATAAAAATTACTCATACGCCCCGTAAACTCAAACGAGCTGCAGATGGCTATAATTCACTCAATATAAAGTGAATGATAATGCTTGTTTTTTATGATCGACTGTGCTTAGTTATAAAGGCAATAATGAAGCCAATATCTGCCTCAATGCCCAGAGCATCTAATGTGATGGGTATAAACTGTCATTGAGCAAAGTTTGAGGCTTGCCACAACACAGAAATCGCTCATTTTAAAATCGTATTTAAAGAGAAACGAACTTTATTATAATTTTTTAAAATGACAGCAATAGACGAAGATTCAATAGTTCAATTTCTACAAAATGCTGCAGTACCAATAACATTTGATCAGTTGCTCACTGAGTTCTGCAACCCGATGATCCAGTTCGCATGACAACTAAGTTTATATTGCGGCATGTCCTTGTTGGTTGCATTAATCAACAGGGGCCAAGTTAAGCATAATCATTACTACTCATCGTCGCTTCCGGAAGATCTGTGTCTATTCGCTATGCTTGAATCTGACGCCGACAGCTCGTCCGATCGGAGCAGTAATTCAGTTTCGAGTTTTTATCGGGCGGCTATTGATACCCAAGGCAAATATTATAGAGGTATTTTTTAATGGCCTTTTTAATGGCTGTAGTTAACATTTGGTGCACTTCATTTTTATTGATTCAAGTGCCTCCAAAATATTTTTGGTCATGATTGTGGCAATAAAAGTATTCTATTTGAAAAACGCTTATTTTATTTACGACTCAATTGGATTTTCTAATGCAAGAATTTCATGACTGAAAGAAATAGTTAAGGAATTTAAAATATATCTTTGCCTTTAACTCATTTTAAATATCTACAATGATTTCGAGCCTCTAGTTAGACCGAGTAGACCAATTGCATACGATGTCAATTTGATGACAAGTCAATGAATCATAATAAATGCCGCACATTTTCACAATCTAACTATTCATGCTTTTTAGCGCACGTATCTCGGGGGACGTGATGATTACAGATCCTTCTACAGAGTGCAGTCTGTCACCTGCTCGGGCCGTGTCTGTGCGTTAATCAAACACAGAGCAAACCATTTGTAACCAGCCACATGACCGCGTCACGAGCGTCAGCAGCGCGAACGTGACACATGGCGCAGTGCTTTTATGCCAGTAAGATATCAGGCAGAGCCTGGGGCACGCGCTGCAAGCAGTCCGTGCTGCAAAAGTCGCGCGGTCATCGGGATCGCGATAAGGACATATGTATATCGGCAGCCTGCGAGTTGCCAGCAGCGCAATTTAGACAGCTACAAAGCCAACTCAATCTGCTGACTTAAATATTTCCAAGCCTAGCGACAGCCTGCAAGAGGCCATTACGAAGAGAGAAATGATTTGGGGCGACAAGCAGAGCAGTTGAATGAACACGATTTGAAATCGGAACAAAAGCAGGTGCGTCGATTATAAATGCAAATAATGCTATAGTATATTTATATATATAAATCTAAATACAAATATTTATATATTTGTCTAATTTTACAGTTCAACACAGTAAAATCAATAAATAGCTTAGAGTATATAAGTAAGCTCTTCAGTAAATTATATTAAAAATTGTATTTAATATATACAGAAAAATAGTAGAAGAGTTTCTAAATTTCACTGAAATCAATCATTCAGCCGCTCCATAGTTTAATGTAATTCATAGCAAATAATGCCACAGCTTTTAGCAATCAATATAATTTAATGCACTGAATAAGTTAACAAATGCAAGCATGGAAAATTGATTAAAAATGTATGCAAAAAAAGTAAATATAATAAATTTTTAATATGACTAAAATGTTTACATTAGAAGCAGAATATGTAATGGGCTGTAAAATTTAAATTTAAATATTTATCAATAATTTAGTGACTTCAGTTAAACAAACGATTTTTTAAAGGGAGTTCTGCTTGCCAATAGAAAAGTGTGAACTAAAATGCTACACTACAGTTTTTGGAAACAGGCTCAGAGTCAGAGGACACACGTACACAGTACCCAATGAGCAGCTTGCGGCAAGATAACAAATAAAACAGTCAAACTGACTAGATTAGACTGCACGGAGTAGCCACGTAGCAAAGTACAAATCAGATGAGTTCAAGGAAATCGAGTCCTAAGGCAAAACTAACAGAATCTCTAGTTGACTAAATGTTTCATGAAAGGCCATTCGCTTATGTCCTTACTGCTTATGCTCATATGATCTCTTAAAGTTGTACTTGACTTGCAGGAATTTCTGCTCTCATTTTTATTGTCGTCACGTTTGTTTCTGTGGCCACACGAGCTGCTTGGCAAATTATTAGGATCGTTAACTAAAAGTGAACACTTAGCTACTGGAAAAACGTATGATGATTTCTATTAAACATAGTGATGTCAGGTAAGTGTATAAGGAAGGAAATATCTAAAGCAGTCAGAGTAAGACGATGATAAGTAAGGCTGATAGGTAAGGTCAGTTACAAAGCCTAATTAACCTATTCATCTCTCTCTCTATTTCAGCTTAAGGCTGACCACAACTGCCTCTTGGTCGCGTGGACGTGTGGAAAATAAATTGGCCAAACACATTAGGCTTAGATGAGTTTGTAGAATAGTCTTGCTGGATAAACAGGTAAAATCTTAGAATATAGCTCAATAACAATGCAGTCACAATCTACTTTAACTATAATAAATGTTTACACAGAGAAGGTAGGACAGACAGCAGGGTGACCAGCATCCTAAGAGCAGATGTAAACTGGAAATATACATCTGTCTTGTCCGGCACGTCGGCGTCTGTTTGTCTGCAATGGGAGACTGCAGGTGAGCTGACAGCCATGACTGTGTCCCCTGTCCCATGTAACAGGTCAGCCATGCGCAGAGCTAAAATAAACATGACGAACGACTTACTAGACCCAGTGGATTCCATTAAAATTACCATGTATAGTACATATGTTAAATATGCGGCTCTACGTGCTGCCAAAGGGCTGCCCTCTTGCTGACTCTTTCGTAGGCGCACGGGCTGAGCTCGTGAATTACGTGTGCTGCTCGCAACCTTTTCAACGGTCTTAGGTCACGTGAGCAGCTTGCTAAAAACTTTGCCAAGTCACGTGTTTGACATATTGTATTGTGACAATGTCTAACTAACTTCCGCTTGTTTGTGCTCATAATCAAACATTTGCCATTGTTTTTATTTGCAGTGCGCGGTAATTGAGCAGCGCAGGAGAGGCGAGCCGTGGAGTGACGTCTATCAGCATTGCTTGCAAGTGATCAATGCTGCGAAAATATTGAAGTCACTGGAATAGCCAGTTATAGGCAGAGTGAGATTAATTGTCAGTTTACTAGACCCAAAAGTAAGCAAGAAATTTGAGCTGTAGGAATTTTTTCTAGCGGTAGCTGTAGCAACAGTAGTAAAAGTGGTAGCAGCAGCATCAGTAGTATTAGTAGTAAGAGCAGTAGCCTCATCAATAGAGCCACATCAACATTGATATGCACCCAGAAATTTTGATAACCAAGGAGCCTTCAATCCCATTAACAGCAGAGGTGGCAGGCAAAAGACGGCAACAACAATGTACCCTTGATATGTGAGAGATGTTGACTTCACAGCATTGCACCTACGGACACTTGCGATATGAATGCGAATGCAATATGCAATACATCACTGAAGCAGCAACCTCTTGTGGCTACTGCACCTAGTTGCAGTAAGGCTGAATCAACAAGAACAGCGCCGTGAGCCAAGAGTGATTGGGCGGATGTTGTGAAATTGGCACTGGCCGAGCGCGAAATCAGTTTGCAGCGGTGAGTTTCCTTATCCAGTGCACTGCGCTGCGAGCTCTCCTGTCATGTGCATAATATTGCCTGCATAAATTAATATAAATCAAATTCAATAGACTTTCACATCAGTTTGCCTTAATTTAATTGACCAGACCATGGCAATACAAATAATAGTGTGCAAATAATTAAAGCTCTTGTTTCTTGTTTCCTTTTTGTTTTTATTGGCATTTATACAATAAAATAAAAATGAATTTCGCCTTCTGGTTGCGTGGCAAATGCATATTAATTCGTTTAAATTTCGATAGTTTTTATGCTCTGCCCGATTTAATAAGTGCCAATATTTATTGAGTGCGATATAAATATTTATGAGCACTCGACTGAATGATTCAATGAAAGTATAAATTAAATGTTGAAAAATCATCGAGCTGACTTGTCAGTGCTACTTATATATAAATATATTTTATTGTGTGTATGACTCTTGGTTTTATTTTTAAATATTTTTAAGAGTTTAAGCTTTTATAGCATTTTATTGCAAAATATGAAATGTTTCATTTGACAAGCATAGTAAAGCTTAAAACTTATTTCTTATAGCTTTTCAAATAACCACATCAATATAAACGAATTGAATTGGCAAAGGTAATGGATGAAGCATATGCATACAATAAAATTGCCACAGGCGCCATCTAGCGGCGAGTAGCACGTTTCAGCTCTCATATGCAGCTGCCTGCAAGGCAAGGAAAAACAGTAAAGCAAACATGTGCAACAAATTTATATACAAAAAAAATGTTAAAAGTGAAAAAGAATTATACAAAATATGCTTATTTTAATGTTTGTTTTAGACAGCTTCTTGCGTGCTTCAGACATCCAGCCTATTTTTTACAGAAAGATATTTAACAAGTTAACAAAATGTGTTTACTGCCTCAGTTAAGCTGAAACCTGAAGACAGGTGGAGTTAGTTTTTTTTTTCTTCTTAAGTGACGTTTCTTGCAACTGTCGCCACTGCAGCAAGTATATGAGTGCAAGTACTTATTCGGCACTATCTTGAGTGCGTCCATGAACTCATTCGCTCTGACCTGCAGCACGTTGAGGAACCTTTTGAACATGTCATAGGTGAGCTGTCGGGATCGACAGCATTTCGCAACGTGATGGTGTGGCACGCTTGCGCAGTAACCCCATTTCCGTTCGACGTCTCTGACCTCAAGATACTGTGTTATAAGCTCGTTATTGGCATTTTGTGGATTAGTATTAACGGCATAGAGAGATTGGTTATATAGACAGGCGTGCCATAACATGGCTCTAACTATATGGTTTTCGCTCAGCTTGCGAATTGTCGACTTTTCCGGGCTGTAGATAATGGAGTAATGCAGCCAGGGCGATATCAAGCGGAAGCGCACTGTTGCCATGACCTGCACAACGTATTGCTCTCGGTGTTGCCAGTCGTACTCTAACCAGCGCAAGGCCGCAAAGAAGACTTCGTCCTCCGTGTTCACGCATATAATATCCAATTTGAGCAAATAGGTCAACTCCTCCACTTTCAGGCTGGCAAACTCACTAGAGGCGACCAGCGGCAGGAAGCACTTTTGTATCCGCGATAGAAATATGGCCATCAAATCGCCAGATTCAAGGTTACGAGACGGCAGGTATGCTTGGAAAGCTTCCTGCTCCCAGAAGCCCAGCTTGCCAGGAATTGAAAATGAGTGCCAGTACTGCTCCAGCAGATAGCGCACATTCATATACTTAGCCATGGTGTACATGCGCAGAAAGTTATGTCCGAGTGCTAGCTCCTCGGTGTCGTCGATTATCCAATTATACATCTTGACCATCAGGCTCATCTTGATCTTGTGGCTGGGCAGTTCCAGATAGCAGTTGCTGTAATCCTGAAAGCCTTTCATGTAGTGACAGAACACATACCGATCCACATGCATAAAATAGTTGCCAATTTTCAATTCCAAGTTGTCAAACCAAAAGTTTCGCACTGACGCGACCATTAACTCTAGAGGAGCTTAAGGAAATATATATTATATTAATAGGGAGAGAGGGAGGTTGGAGGCAGTCTCCATCGAGCTTTACCGATGCTCCGATTCTCCACAATGGTCATGTGCTTGGCTATCGATACACTTGAGCTAAATGGCACTGGCTTAGAGAGCTGCTTTAGGCCAGCTACCGTTAAGTTTTGCATCAAGTCAATGGCATTGGCTAGCTTCACACGCTTCTGCTGCTGTGGCACCAGCTGCCCGGTCTGGGCATGCCAGTTAGCGGCATTGGAATGCAGATTGGACCAATTGAGCAGCGGAACGCTTTGAAAGAATCTGTAGTGCACGATTGGAAATATGTCGTATGGATCCATGTGGTCAGTGGTCCTCTGCGAACTATGGCTAGATTTTTGCAGGCACAGATCCTGCGATTCTGTGGATATGGACATGCTATGCCTCAAGTCAGTGTAGCTATCGTTAGCCCTTAAGCGTCTCCCCTTAACTGGACCTTCGTCGGTGGACGACGACGACGATGAGCGTGGCTCCACTGTCGTCGCACTCCTCCTGGCCACATCACGCCGGAGTCTCGCATTGGGGAATTTGCGATAGTCACTTCTTTTATTACGCACATAGCCAGGGAATTGACGTTTGCTTGGCACTTTGAATGACGCTTTGGGCTTGGTTGCCATTTGAACAAAATGTAAACTCTAAACTAAATTATATTTATTTGACGCGAATTTGAAGTTCAGTTTTATTCTCGCCTCGATTTTGAAATTGACGTAAACTAAACTTAAAATATGAGTTGAAGATTAGAGATCCGACGCATTCGAGTAAAAGATACGAATGAAACTTGAACAAAAAGCAATTTGCGGGGCCAGCCGTTAGCAGAGCTATAGAGTAAACCAAAACGATAGCTCCAATTGCCATCTGAGCCATTTAATCTCGAAATTCCCCAATCAATTATTTACATAAAGTAGAACATAAATTTATACATTATTCTGAGAGCACACAAGCGTCACAGACAAGCCAATTCTCAAGCTGACTTGCGAAAAGGATACACAAGCTAAATTTAACTAATGTGCACACATGGAAGGGTTTGCATGTGTAAATATGTTTAGTGCTACAGCTTTGCTCATTAGGCAGAAGCGTTGCTTTATGGCAATCTAAGTAACGATTAGAATGCCAGCAAATGGATGACCCACTCATTAGTTATGCATCTTGTTCGTGTGTCCTTATTCGCAGGCCAATGAATTTGTGCATTTGCTATTTGCTTAATGGTGGGCAGGAATTCCAGCCAACAATGGAATGGAGCCAAATGCCACTTAGCTGCTGTTATGTCCAGCAAGACTTGCCTACCAGATTGTCTTTGTTTGTATACTGCTGCGACAATAGCTGTCAACAGACTGTCCCGAAGCGCAGCCTGGCGAGAGAGATCAAGTAACGCGAATTGGTGTGCAGTTGGATAACACCTTCCATGAGTCAGACTTATGCCCAGATATCTGACAGTAGCTAGTATTTACGCTGCAAAAACAATTTACTCTAAATACCCTATTGTCATTGCAGAAGGGTATATTGAATTTGTTGAAATAGACAAAAGACGTGAACATAAAGTTTATATCCTTTTGATCAGGTAAAATGGCTCACTGGACTTAGCCCTATTCATCCGCCAGAAGTCAATAAGATGTGGAGAGCTCAATCGCACCTTCTTCACCTGAAAAAAAAAACAATATGTTTTACATAAACTCTAAACATATACATAAGTCCAGCTTTAGCAATATTTAGAAAATATTTCGTCTTTCTGCACAGCATAGCTTCAGGTATCTTCTAGTCAGTCACTCTCGCCTAGACCACTTCTACTTCTCCTCAGCTCTGTAAGCAAGTTGTCTGGCAGAGAAGATAAATAGCATTGACTGTTTTTATCTATTACCTGTCTTGTCTGTCGCTTTCCTGTTTGAAATATGATACAAAATACTTTAAAATGTGATTGTCTGTCAATTGCTATGCCCCAGACTTAGTAAAAGAACAAACAAAAAAAGGTGGAGTAAATTGATGAGGATATGCTAGACACGCTGTCTGTAACATTACCTCAAAGCATATAAAAGAAAAAAAGTAATCACATATATTTTCTATTCTTTTAACAGATTTGATACAGCGTGAGGACAGCAACATGACTGAAAAGTTAATGCGTGAATAAAAAAATAAAAAAAATATATATTTAAAATATTATGAGTAGTGAAGTTTCATGAAAAGAGAATAAAAAAACATCAAATAAAAAATGTAATTAAATTTTGTAAATGTCATAAATGTCTTCATTCTCATTGCAGTTGACCCAGGGACTTAATAATTAATATTGGAATAGTATTTGTATTATTTCTATGTAAAACTGTAGCTGTGAATCAATTTAGCTTACTTGAAAGGGCTTGAAATATTCGCTAAAAAATGAATTTAAATTGATTTTCTGTATTTCACAGATGAACTGCTCAGCACGTGAGTTATGATTGTGCGCAAATCTATTTTCCGGACCTGGCAATATTTTCACAGAGTCATATATCATTTTTATGTGTCTACAGTAACGGTAAAATGTTTATTTAATTGTGACCAAGCGGAAGAGAAATCATAAAAACTAAAAAATGTGCCAGCAAGTAAAAAAACCAAGAAAATAGTTTTTAGAAAAGGCTGCAGAAAAAACAGAAATCAGGTAAAATAAAAATATTTTGAATGCATAATAAATTTAGCGAAAAAAATTGGAAATAAAAAATGAATTTGTAGTTTTTAAAGCGTTAAATAGCAGTTAGTATCTTAAAACATCGAAAACAATACAACAAAATCTAGGTTAATAATAATCATCGTAGCTTCAATAAATATGAAACTACTTCAATCGCTTCTGACCTTCCATAAGGCATTCGGGCAAAGTTCAATTAATATGACAAAGACTTTATGAGCTTTTGGCTGTTAGCCGATATGTCGTATGGCAATAAGGTCAAACTAATAAAACGAGTTGGTGATTATAAATAATATAGAGATAATTATGATTACCACATATCCTGGCCCTAGCAGTATCTAAGCTCAACTGGCGAGCCATTCAACTAGTTTGGTCCTCTCTGCTCCTGTTTCTGTCTCTGTTCCTGTTCCTGCATAATTCGTGTGTCAAACTTTGTCCTGTGAGTTGTTTGCGGATTGCTGTGGCTTTTGCAGCTGCGCTCCTGGAAGGACCTGAACGACCACCACCTGATAAATTTTCAGATTTGCATGCTAATGAATGGCGCGAATCCGCAAGGTTTTCCGTTAAGTTTTTAAGTTATTCGTCTGTTTGCAGCGCCAATCGCATCACAACGGCACAAATTTATAAAGGTATGCGAATCTCGTGTGCCATAAGCTATGTTTATGTTTAAATTAAGCTATTTCCGTATTTGAAACTTAAATTTATGTCAAAATGTGACGCAAAAAACCTTTTGCTTAAAGTTGAATTTCAAAATGAAAAACAAATCGCGAATTTCTTTTAGTCACTTTTTCAATTTTGGCTAAAACTTAATAGTTGACTCTTCTCTTATTCCTTCGCACAATTTCGGCGACGATTGCGTTAATTTAGTCCCATCACGTAGACATTTAACATAAATCAGCCTTTGCTCTGGCAGCGAAATGACGTCAGTTGCTCTGGGGCTTAACTTTGTGCAACTTTCGTATATGCTTGAAAAGAAGTTGGAGCGCTGCCGGTGCAAATTGCAGAGCGATTTGCTCCATGCCAGAATAGACTTGCCATTTGTCAGTTTGCTTAGTTTTGCACATCATTTTCAAATCCACTTTTAGGGCACAGGGTATACAGACTTAGCTTAAGAGCAGCAGCACTAGTTGAGACTGCAATTGTTTGAGCTAAGCGAAATTTATTTAAATATTCTGTTCATTTCAAGGCAATCCACGCTCGATTAGCAGCGTATTTAATTGAATCCTCAGCGAATTGCGGCGAAAGGAAAGTCGAAAAGAAAAATCTACAAAAGTGGAGCAAGGCAATCAGAACAAAGAGCTCAGTTTAATTAGGGGATAATCGAATTGCGAATCAACGAGTCAAATCAATTGATTGATTAATCTTTGTCCATTTGATCAGCTGAGCCACATTTTAATTGAAAGCCATTGAAACAATTCGACGAATCATGGCTTTTCCACATCTTTTTTATTTGTGTTGCACCTTTGAGAAATGAATATGCACATCTCTAGGTACTTTTTCGCTGCCAGCTGCCAGCTGCCAGATTGTAATGAAAGCATAACAGAAGCGGAAACTATTCAGATGGAAATGAAACTTGGCCACTGATTGATGTTCGGCTGATTATTTTGATTTGCTGCATACGAATAACACATGAATGAGTTTGTAATATAATACCGTTTTCAATCACAGCAGCTTCAATAGGAAGATACTGATTGAGCCTGAATGGCAGCTTGAACAAAAATACAATTCGCAAACCTAAATTATAAATTGCTCCAGTTTGAGGCTATCCACACTGCCGCTTGGTGCTGATTGTTTTCACAATACTTAACGCATCTAGATGAAAATGACATAAACACAAAACAAAACTACGCAAACAGCATCAAATAGTGCAGTTTGCGCAGTTTTAATTAAAGCCAAACACTTTGTATGCACATTTATGGAAAATATTTGTCATATGCCACACAAATTTCATTTGTAGCGCTCGTTTAGGTCGGAACTTTACTCGTTGTGACCCAAATTGCATTTTACTCTGAGTTGTCAATTATTTGGCTTCTCACTTACACTCTGTCGCTCTCTATCTTTGATTCTCTCCCTATCTGGCTGTACCTTGCTCTGTATATATATGTTTATCTTTTGTGTTTTATGGTTCCTTTAGTGGTTCATTTCATTAGCTAGCATTTATCTACTTGACACAATTCTATTGCTCAATATGGCAAGCATTGGATATATCTTTTTTTGCTTCGTCTCTTTAGACTTGTTTATGAAGTGTGGCGAGCTACTGTTGACGAAGAAAAACTTGGCTTCTTGATGGACTCGCTTAATCAAATTTTTAGAGCGTGATAAGGACATGCATATGTGTGTCTTAGCCAAAGCAAAAGTTTCTAGTATTGGAAAAAACTTTTAATTTTGGAAATTTATGGAAGAGTGGGGGAACTATCCAAAATCAGAAGTATATAAAATAAAAGTATTCATTACAGAAACTTGTGGATTGAAATCTAAGCTTAAACAACGAAATCAAATTCTGGATTATGATCGATAATATGAATAAAATGGGATACACGAGTCTCTCGCCTTTGTGGTTTACAAGCTAAATGCGATTACAAGCACGGACAGACATGCCAAGATCGACTTAGCTCGTCATGCTGATCAAGAATATATACGAATATAATTATTTATATGTATATTTTAAGGGGCTTGCCACGCCTTCTTCTGTCTGTTACATAAATGTTCGGTAATGAATTCCCATTTGTAATGGGGATGTTTAATCTGCCGACACAAAGGCATATATAAATAATAATATAATAATAAATATATATATAATATCCTACATATATACTTGCACTTATTTATATATATATTATGTATATATATAATAAAATACCAATCTCATACTCATACTTATCTACAGTGTGCGCAATGAAGCACACTACTTGGGGAATGCCTTTATAAAAACCATTTATGGAGCTGGCAATAAAGAATATGAAATATTTAAATAACCATGGCGATAGACAGCGCAATAATGGCAGAGCTTAACGCAGTTCTGCTAACGAGCCGCAACGCAGGCTTTCAATTGCGAACAAGCGGTCAAAAGGAGGCTGCACAGCAATTAATTTGTTTACACTCGAAATATATGTGTATAAAACGGATTCATTTGTGGCGTGCAAAAGCTGCTCATATGCATTGTCCTTTGAGTGGCTACCTTAATCAGAATGTTCTTCTCTCGACTCTTGCGTGAATTTTAATTACAAAAAAATCTGATAAATATTGTGGAGCAGGTTAATATGAAGTATTGGTTTGAAGTGACTTCAATTCGTGAGAGCAAAAACAATATTCATGAAGCTGCTCAGTTCGAGTTGGTGAAGCCTTAAAAAAGTCTTAAAAAGCTTATTTGGGATACAGCACTTTATTTTTATCTTAGGTGATTAAGATACAAAGCTTTAAGCTGATTGCTTCTCCGAATAATTTTTCTCTATAGCCATGGTGTAATTTAAGCTCAGAGCAGAACTGTTGTTCGATTGTGCCTATACTCGATCATGTTGTGGTTGGGAATCTTCACAGAGTCTCTCTCTCTTGCACTCACTCTTTCACACACTCTCTCTTTCTCTCCCTCCCAAACGAAGCTAATCAAATACAATTTTGTTTAGCTTTCTTAACTAAAATTTCTAACCATTAATAATGGCCATTAATAATGTCAGGTAACATGAGCATCGTCACCGACTTTTAGTCATTGGCAGAGTCTTATTCGAGTTACCAGTCTATCTACATCTGATGATATTTTTATTTTTAAAATTATCATTAGGTATTGTTTTCCAATTTAAAATGCTTTATAGGAAAAGTTTAATATTATTAATTTAAAATTTAAGTTCGATCATGACTTCTTGAATGTGTTTTTAAAGTTAAGCTACAATTAAGCAATTAAGTTATCAAACTTAAATGAATTTTTATGTATACCTGCTTGAAATGAAGATTTTTGTATGTATATTACATTTAATATATTGGCTATATTTACACAAATCAAATCTTTTAAGTTCTTTTTATCGCAGCAATGTTTAATTGCAGCCATTATCTTTCAATTTTGAGCTGCTTCATTGAGCCTTTCGCGTTAATTACACATTAATCGAGCAAGTTACGGAAAAGTTATTGTTTTACTCAACTCCATCAATTATAGCTGACTATATTAAAATACATTACGCATCAAGTATCGAACGAGCGAGCGGATAAAAGCAATGCGAATTAAAGCTGCGCATTAATTCTCGCTTAACTCATTTTTTAAGACTCAGCAGCAATAGTTGTAGTCCAACTGTTGTCCTTTCTGACTCTTGCCTGGAGCCGCACTTAAAGGTCGCGCATGTTAAAGCCTTTTAGTCACTTCGCACTTCTCTGTCAAGTCAACTGCATTTGTCCTTCACTCGTTGCGGCACTTAAGGTTGCATTCATTTGAATTTCACTCGAAATGCAGTCAAGCGTTTTACGAGTTTACCTTGTAGCTGTAGCCAAAGGTAAACTGAGCCTAACCAACCGTCGGCGAGCAGCTGATGGGTTGAGGAAGCAGCTTATAATTGGCCGATTGTCAACCCCTCAGACAGCGGCAATGGGGTCACTACACTTCTACCTTCTTCTGTTAATGTTGCGGCTAAACTTTCTTTTGTGTTGGCAGCGCCAAAGTTTTGAGAGCAAACTCAATTTAATGACCATTTCGGAAGTGTGCGATGAATTGCTAGACTAGCGTTAGCAAGAGGCTGGAGTAGCAGAATAAACCAATTGGAAATTGTTCTAAATATTGTTATATTAATGGAAGAGAGAGTGCGCGAAAGAGTCTACAAAAAAGAAGGTATTAGATGCGCTTAAAAGCAGCATAAATTCATAAAAATGTTCAGCTATTCATAAAATATTCATAAGCACAAAAATAACCGAGGCATTATTGAAAACAGGAAGACGCAATAAATAACAAGGAAACGTAAACAAACGGAAATTAATAAATTTTTAATGCAGACATAGCTCTTTACTTATGCTCTAAGTGGTTATTACATTGCAAACTCTTCAATACTTAAAGAAAAATAAAGAAACTGAAGACACAACCCATCTTTAACTATGAAGGGAGCATTTCAATATGATTCAGGAAGGCAAAGTAAATATTTTGCTTTGAACAATTTGCTATTTCTACTTTGTACTTTCTACTTTTCTTGTGTCATATGTGTGGCATATGGAGACAGCTATGCCACTGTTGACAAGATGTTTGTGCACCTTTTGTTTCAACCATATAACTTGCAGCTGCACTGCAGACATTTTATTTGTCTTGTGCATGAGTAGCTTGAACTAAGACGTGAAAAAAACGAAACAATATTCAAGCTGACCTCGAGTAAGTTTACTTGAGTTGAGTCTCTTTGAGCGCAAAACTACTTTTTGATAACTTTCTTATATCTTGATAAACGTGGTTAACTCACCCATATATTTTTGCTTAGCTTATTAAATATTCCCCAATTAAGATAGTTGAAATATTCAAATTTATTACATATTTATCTCTCAGTTCTTTCAGCAGAAATATAAAAGATTATTTATAAAGAGATTTTTGAATAGCGCAAACCCAACAAAAGGCTAAAAATCGTTGTGTTTTGTATCAGAATATTTGACATTTTTTTGGGGCCCATGAATACGGGTCCGGCACAGCACGGCACGTGTTTCATATTATTCAACACTTCTGTGGGTTCGACATTCGATTATTTATTTTTATCACGTACAATGGCGC